GATTGAATAGATAAGAGCTTAGTTCAGTTGGTTTCAAGAGAATAACATGTAATGTGGTTGCGAGTGAGACAACGTATCATCGAGATGATTACTGACTCGAACGAGGTGCAACGATCTAATAAAGTGAACGATCTGGTCAGATGGAAAAGACAGATTCAATAAGGTTAAAAATAATCAGCAGTCGCGAATGGAAGCCAATGCGAACGGTGTTCTTTCGACATAAAGGGATTTGAGATATCTTCTACTCGATCGCTGACTATTTCGTAATATTTCCCCTTCTGTTTCTTCGCTCAATCCTTTGAGCGTCCAATTCGAACAAATAAAAAGTGCGAACGCTTTTATCTTTCAGCAATCGCTCTTCGACACGGAATTTTGCTCACCTCTATACTTTTGAATTTACAATCACGCTTCTGATTTCCGCATTTATAACCGTCCTTAATTACGGTAATAATCGCGCCGATCTGTCAGTCACGTAGTGACAAAAACAATCACTCGCGTCTATACCGTGCAATCAACACTAAAAGCGATGCTAAACGCTAGCCTGGGCTTGCTGAACTTCGGATAATGCGTAACGTGTAGAACGTGCGAATACCGAGCAAGGATGCGTAATGTTTAGCGAATAAGTGTAGAACTTACGAGCGATTAGGCATTAAACGTGCCATTAACACACTCACAACGATGGCGCACCTCCACTCTGATACTTTACGATTGCATAGGATACGTGCGTGGCCAATGCCGTCGAGAGGATATCTTCGTCCATAAATGAGTCCCCTTTCGGCTTATCGGATACCACCAGGCCGCGGCGCGGCTTCGCTGATCATAGTGTCATAGTAAAATGTTTACCTGCAGCTATGCGTATCAATTATCGGCTGCGTGTATAACTCGCTCTTAACACGATCCGTATAGATTATAGCCCGATAATGCAAAATTACCTTTTTGTCAGATGCTGTCTCAAAGCAGAAACGTATCGAAAAATGATGTTCGTCTTTCGACGTTCGTTGCTTTCAGATATATCTGAAAAAAAAACGTGACGAAATCTTTGATGTACATTGAGAGAAAGTTTCCAGTAGAATTGCAGTCTCATATTCAGCCTCAATTGTATCTTCCTGTTAGGCTTTAACCTAAAAAGTACACAAAAAAAGTATGATCGGTTCATAGAGAATGATGTCAACCAGATTTAATATTACGATAGTCAACCGTATTGTTTCGTGTAGCGATATGTATATTGTTATCACTGACGTTGTGATACCATTTGCAAGAAATCGTTGCGATTCTTCCACTTAATGCGATTACAGTGACGAATACAATTTTCTGTTCGATACACGAACGTCATGCTGGCCATTTTATTTGCGTGTTCATTGCGAGAGAAACAATGGGAAAGGAATCGTGAAATGTTCCTTTCGCACTCAAAGAAGAAAACGGCTAATCTCATTAAAATTATAGTTTCGTACAGTAAAACACATAGTCACGTATCAACTATATTTCCTCATTCCAAGCAAAAATAGCAGTAGTAATACGCACGTAAAAGTATCATTAACAATATAATAGTACTTGCTAAAAAACAATGTTCCCCCCAATAATACTTCCACTGTGCAATTATAGTCACGGGTATCAGAAAATGTCTCAGTGTGTCTTGAGCTTCTTAAGATTTCGAACAAAAGCAAAATGTTCTTTCGACAAATCGAGAGAAGAAAATTCGAAGAATCCCGAGCCGGACTAAGAATTCGAAACGGGGCGTCACTTCTCAGCCGTCGGATACTTTTTTCTCAGTGTAACGACTCGCGTCATTAGCGTGCGAAGGGACGCAATCCTCCACTATCTCGCGCAAAGGGAGCAAGCGAGCAAACGAGCGTGCGAGCGATTCGCAAATCGCCGAGTCCGCGGGAAAGAGAATCGGCCTACTGCTAGTTTTTTCCGTCTATTATCTATCGGCCGTGTCGGGCCGATCGGTCTTTACCGGCGGCGATTTCGAATATACGGACGAATATACCGCGCGGCCGGTCGGAACTCGTTCAGAACCGGTTCCCGTTGGTGTCGATGCTACGACGACGACGACGGGACACGCATTTCTTTCTGTGCATCGGCTACTTTCGTTTTCACGACACCTCCGATCACTTTGACACGAAACGAGCGCGGAATGCGCGCCGATGCGCCATCCGGGCGAGAGGCCGCTCCGAAGTCCGCCGGGATTCGCGGCTAAGTTTTATTCAACGCTTCTCGTGCCGAAGGAACGAGATTCCGCGGGGAATGGACTTTGGCGGCGCTTCGGTTTTGCGGGAAACCGACTCGACCTCGGGAATTTCGCGAATCGGTACGCGCCTCGAAAGTTAAATCGCGGCTCGCACACCGGCGGGACGCAAGCCTGCTTATTATATTTACAGCGAGCGCGAATCGCGGCGGATCCGCCACACGTTGCGATAATAATCGCCGTCGATTATTCCGAACGGACCGGCCTAATTCGGCCTCCCGATTCCTGATTACCGAAAGGTTGGCAATTAGCAGACCCGCCGTCATAAACCGCCGCAAAAACGGCCGCGCGATCGCGCGTATAACAAATTGCAAACGATCCGCGTTACGATACGTGTCCGTCGAACCGATCGCGAGGCACTCGGCTCATAAAGAACTAATTAATTAAACGTTCCCGCCATGTAAACGAACTGCCGCCGCTTAAAGCGAGCTAAAAGAACGCGATACAAATGAGCAAGGCGGACCTGTTTTCCGCCAATACAGTGGCTCTTCATTTCGCCCGGGACGACGATTTCTCCCAACGAGATTGTCGTCGTCCTCCTCGTCGTCGGAATAAAAAGTAATTGCGCTTCCCGTTTCACAAAATGACAGTTACGAGAGCGAGAGAGAGAGAGAGAGTAGCGCTCCCAATATTGCCGCGTCGTCGGCCCGATCCGTAAATTGCCGTGCGCGCGAAATATCGTTAAGATTAGTCGACGGCGCGATTACGTGGAAGTTGAGACCACAATAAGTACATCATAATTTCGATCGCATTACTACGCACCGCTGTAATTAACATCTGTCCCGCGTTTAATTCGCATTATCCTCAAGCTCGCGTCGATTTGCGCTTAAACGCGCCTCTCGTCCTGCGGTTTTGCCCGACGCCGTGTAATTACGCCGCGTCTCCCGCCTTCCTTACGATTACTTTCCGCGAGTTAATCTCGCGCTCTCTCGGCGGCGGGCAGGCAGGCAAGGGAGACCCGGTCAAGTCGGCCCAGTGATCATTTCGTTCGCCATTTTGTTTATGTATTTATCGCGGGAGCAAAAATACGGCTGATCTCACGAAAATCACAGTCGCTTTTGTAACACACACGTAGTCACGTACAGTCAACTTTATCTTCTTGCTTCGTCGAAAAATAATAATAACAGCACAATATGCATATCGGATTATTACTAACAGTATAGTATCACTTGTTAGAAAAATAGTTCCTCCGACCATAATCCTTCGCTATGCGATTACAGTCGCGGGTGTCAAAAACGTTTCCTCGATGTGTTCTCCAGTTTCTCAGGACTTCGAAACAAAGGGAAAACGTCCTCAACAAGTGAAGAGAACAAAATTCAGTATCACAGAGAGATAAACGCTTTTCTTCTTCTCACATCATCATTGCCCGCGTCGTTTCACGAAATAGCCGAAGAATTCGGCTGGAAATTCAGCGGGGGATCGTCCGCGGCAGCAGACCGGGATTCTCGAATCTCTCGGTTGACTCCTCGCGCGATCCTTAATAACGTCGTCCTGCTCGATCGTAAACCCGCCACCTGTCCGCCGCTGCTCACTCGAAACGTCGCGGAGATTACTCGGCCATAAATCCACGAAAGGAGGACTCAATCGGCGCGCGTCCTTTCGAAAAATTACGAGGCTCCTCGCACCTGGCCGATTCGTTTGCATCCGCGTATAACTGTGCGGACGCGCGTGTAATAAATTCTAGAACGCGCGCCGATACACGAGCCGCAAAAAGTCATTAATCGATTAAAGTCGCGCCGGGAGCGTTAGCGCGCGCGAATCGGACGACGAATAGACTGACTTGTTATTAAACACGAATTGACTCGTAAAACGATTAATTTCTAACGATCCCGTGGCATTGATTGACGCGTCGATCGACGCTCGCGAGCGTGGGATATAACCGCCGACACGACTGACGGCGATCGATAAGCGTCGGTAGTCAAGCTCCTTTCTCGCCACACGCGGCCCGACATTATATATTATTATAAAGAGCGTGTAAATAAAACCGCGCTTAATACGCGCGGTTTCGGCGCGAGTCAAGCGTTAAGTGTTTTTATATCTTCGACTTTTACGAGCATGAATATAAATTAATTATCAAGCGCGGCGTGTTTGTGCGCCGGGCCGTGTGTGAGTGCGCGATCGACAGCTGCTTCGAATACATTTCGGAACATTTTAAAAGAGAGCCGCTCCGATAACGCACGGGGTCGCGACACACCGCTCGCAATAATTTAAATTAATTTACAGCCGCGAGCGAGCGAGGTAGAGCTACTTGACCGTGACCACTTTCGTCACGGCGATTACGCAGGCGATTGTTAATTTAATGAAGCATTCATTCGACTCGGCGGGATCTGACGGGGGAGAACTCGCGCGATTAAAATGGATTCCCCGATCGTCATCTCCGACCGTAAAGTCACCCCTCGAATCTCGTTTAATCTGTACTACGAAAATCATCTAGAAAATAGTAAGGAAATCTAGCGGTCGTCTTGAAAATTGCACAAACCTATATACATTGAGAGAAATTATATGGTTGCTTTCGGCTGCAATTATATCCTTCTTTTACAAGAATGCGATAATCATTGTCAACGATATTATTTAAATGCTCCTTTTACTGGGTCTTTCGGTAACCAACGATTATCGTAATTCCCGACGATATCCGTCGTCGATGACATTTTATGTGATACAGTTACTATTATTATCATTGTTAACTGCCCTAAGAGCAATGTGGCTTCATCATTACGCGTGTGTCCAAGTGAAATTTTGTCCCGATTTGCAGGCGTAAGCTTGCAAAATTGCACAGCGGGCCCGTTCGCCAGCGGCAATAGCGGCGGTACATCACGGCAGCGCTTAATCGAATTGTCGCACGGATTAGGAGCACTGAGGCACTACAACGATCTCGCCAACCACGTGTTGTCCCTAAATCAGCAGGGCGCAGTCGTCACGAAACTTTTGGGTGAGTCCCAGCGGATACGCTTTCTCGCAATTTATCACCGAGCTGTTCCGTCCGCGCGAATCGCACTTGCGAGATACGCACGTACTATACCGCACGCTCGATATTACGCATGAGGTTGCTTCTCATCGTCGACGATATAAGAATATGCAAATTATTGGCTGACATTCCGAGCGCGAGAAGCTACGTTAGGGGAAAACTACTCCGTTGACATATCGCCATTACATTCGTCAGCCGCTATGCCTCTATTCGGGAATATCGCTTCGTGCACGTTACTTACGCACGTAATTTCGATACGGAGTCAGAAGACAGAAATCGTCCGTTTTCTATTGTACTCACGTACCGAGAACGCAGCATATCGATTCCCCTCTGGGAAAATGAGAGAAAAATAGATTTTCAAGACGCACACACGAGGGGGACATTATCTAAAGTCGGAAATTACCATGTTGGCGCATACACGGCAGGTTTCTCGGCTATCTTCAAAAGTTCCATTTTTCAAGTAATTCTTATTAATAAAAACAACGAGTCGATATTAACTTCGATACGTTTCCTCTCTTCTAAGAAGAATATTTTCAATTTCATCGAAAAAATAAAGAAGAAAAAAGGGGAGAAGAAAGGAATTTCTTCTTCTGAATAATTCCACTTTCTCTAACGTAACTTCACTCGATACTTTTTATTCTTACGCCGCTAAAGATGCTATTGTATCCGTGGAAATGGTCAACAGTGCCGAAATTCAGGCAAATTTCCTTCATCCAAGCTAGCGATATTGTTGAAACTAATATTCGAGTTATTAGTTATTACAACGAGAGAAATCTAAAACTGCAATCATTTTCGGCCCCAACTACACCTTCCTTTGACTTTAATCTCAAAAATAATAGTAGCAATATGTGTGTAAAGTAATCACTGATTCTGACTATATTAATTACTATAATAACTAGAAAAAATTAGTAGAAAAATATTTCTCCTGACTATAATTCGTTTTTTCATACGATTATGGTTATAAGTATCAAAATTTCTCTCTCAATGTAGTTTCAATAATATTGTTATTGAATTAAGAAGATTCACTCCACTTATGACGCTGTTGATTAATTTTTCCGATACAACATCTTTTCCGTGTGAGGAAACATTCTCAGGAAAGAGTAAACTATCGTTGTTAGCCGTCGTCGAATTCGAAATTTGCGCAATTCGCGATCGGATGTTCGCGATCCGCAACAGCAATCACCGGCGGCGGCCTTAAAGGCCGCCGCGTTAACATCCCGAGCGATTTCGAACGAGGCAAAGAAACAAGGGTGCAACGTTGAGCGAACTCGCGCAGAAGAGCGAACGTAATGAGCGTCACGAAGGACGCATCGGACGCCATCCGAGAGGCTCGTTAGCTGCTAAAATTAACGCATAACAGTTGTTGCCCGTTAAACTTCAGCGGTACGCCAACGAGCTCAAATAATTCGTCGACGAATGTGGCCCGTCGCATTGCGACGGCTTCTTTGCGAAGTTCCGAAAAACTCGCTCCGACCCAATTCGATGAGCGTTAAACGGGAGACTTTGGGAAAAGAGGTATGTATGCGGTATACCGCATGTCAATCCAGATGGACAGATGTACGCGTACTTGGCAGCAACTTCACTGGTCGATGTGTAAAGATTGTGCTCTTACAAAAGCTTCACGTGGCATTCGTACTTATCGTTAAAATGATAAAATACGAAAGAAGTCACCGCAAAATTTATCCGAAGCAACGTGTTGTGCAAAATGTAATATGAAAACTTGAGTTTTCTGGTTTCGTTCTGAATCTTTTAGTTTTCCAATTTTTCCAGCTTTTAATAAATTAGCTGTTGTATTGGTATAACGGGAAGATTTACGCTGTTGTACATAAATTTAATTATTCCAGGGATGTAATTAAACATTTGTAAATTTCAAGTTAATGAAAAATTTGTAAACTTCAAGTCGTTTGTAACGAGACCGTCATCGTCTCGCGTCGATAATCCGGGGTCTCTCGCGCATTGCCCCATCATTTTATCCGAAGTGTTTTGCACAATATTTCGTGACGTTGTACGTGAATCGTTTCTCGAGGAGAGGCGTCTCGTATTCCGCGTCTAGCGAGAACCGTCGTATTTGGCCGCGAGATAACCGTTGACCGGGGCGCTTTCGCCCGTAGTCTGAGCACGCGAGTGCGATCTCACACGCGAGAACACGCGGTGAAACTCGCGGAAAACCGGGCCCGAGATGAAGGGAACGAGATCGTCGGGGACCGTTGAACGGGAGCCGAGATCGCGTTCGAGGAAAGGGCAGAAAGAAAGAGGAAGTCGAAGGAGATACGGAGGAAGACGGAGAAGAAGACAACGACGACGACGACAAAGAAGAAGAAGAGGGAGGAGGTCGAGAGAAGAAGGTGAAGAGGCAGCCGCGCGCGCCGAGAGCCGAGCAATAAAAAATGGAGGCAAGCCACCGAGCATCGCCGTGGAACGCCGGAGTTTCTCTCTTTCTCGTAGTGAGCTTGCCTGCTACCTCGCGCGGTCCTCGTTAACTTTACGAGCCGCTCGTAAAAATACCGTTCGGACCCGGGCGGCTCTACTCGGCGGCGCGCCGGTAATGTCTTCATCCCGCTGAATACGGACTCTTTAGGCGTCCCTCGAGGTGAATATAATGTACCATAATCGGCCGGCCAATTACTTAACGGCGGCGAACAATTAATCCCTTCGGCGTATTCGGACGCGAACGCCCCCCTCCCCTTCGCTCGCTCGCTCGTTGAGTACGCGAGTACGCCGAGCGAGGAGGAAGAAGCGACACATCGGTCTCGTCGTCTCGGAGATCCCTGAGACCAGATATCGATAGGTCTGCTCCTCTTAAACGAGCTTCAGCTCGCGCTTTTTTGCCTTCAGCGTGAAACAAGTATGTAATCGAAGGGAAAAGGAACGGGAGGAGAGAGAGAGAGAGAGAGAACAGGCCTAATTATATCAACAATCAAGTGTGATGGGGCCGATGAGAGGCCGAATTGTGGTTGTTTGTTCGAGGATACACGATGGCCTCGAGGCCTCGTCGTGCGCCTGGTCGGTGATGCCCGGGGGACGCGCGCATTCAATTTCCCCGGCGGATTAATCGGGAGACGCGCTTTTCGAAGGACCGACTGAATCGCAATGAACGGTGCCGAAATTTCGAGCTGGTGCTGTAACGAGCCTAGCGTGTCGCTATCTCGCTCGTTAAGATAACCGGACGGCAAAGTGCGAGGACAATGCCGGAGGCGTTCCGGCTGTTTGCTCGTAGCTTCTATCACGAATCACCTCCGTGTACGCTCCGTGTAATTACGCTAACTCTTCATTACGAATTTATAAAAGAGATCACCTTCGCTCGCGATGAATGCACGCATGCGACGCGCGCGCACGCTGAATGTGTTCCTCTCGTGGCGTAACGACGCTACAAGGGAGAAAAGACTGACGTCGCGGCCTAACCCAACCGACCGACTAACTCGATGCGAAATTGGCTTCGTGCGGTTTCTTTTATTAAAAACGGCTTCAAAAATCTTACGTACGCACGCACGCACGCACGAATGAGCGAAGGCGCGCACGAACGCACGTACGTATGCGCGCACACGTGCAAAGGGGGAGCGAACCGAGAGAACAAACCTCGCGAGCGAGCAGCAATGAAAGAGAGAAGAGATCGACGAGGAGGAAAAGGTAGACAGGGGGAAAGAAAGTGAGAGAGAGCGAGAGAGAGAGAGAGAGAGATAGGCGTTAAAAGATGAAAAGAGGAAGAGAAAGAAAAGGGGAGGGGAGAGAGAGAGATAGCAGGTCGGGGCAAGGAATTTGCTCGCGGCATGGATACCTATTAGGTGGGTACATCGTTTATACCCGGCACGCACTTCACCCGTGGGAGCGCACGCGATACCCTGCCGGGTTTAGCCGTCATTATTGTTATTAATAATAGTACGTAACGACCGATAATTGCTCAAGTCTGCCTGCGCCTCTGGTTTCCATTACCTCTCGCGGTCTCTCGCGGCATCGCCCGCTGGTCTGATCCTTCTCTCTCTGTCTCTCCTGCTCCCTCTTTTTGTCTCTATCTCTCTCTCTCCGTCCGCAGTCCAACCCTTGCTTGTTCCCGAAGATCCGGCCGCGACAGAAAGCCGCGAATCACGGATGATGCATGCACATCGGCGGTGCGAGCGGCGATGTCGTCTTTCCACGATGAGTCCGCGCGTAATTGGGGTCGGAAGGCGAGCCTCGATGGGACCCTTTACACTCGATGGTTGACGTTGATGTTAGCACGCGAACGTGACTCTCGTTTCTGCCGCGCTCCTACCGTGCCGCTCGTGTGGAGCAAGACGAAAACAACGTGCCCTTGCCTACCATCAGGACGCGCGGCAGCGGAGAGCAGATCGAAGAGAGAGAGAGAGAGAGATATAAGAAGAGCTTCCACGATATAATATCGACGGCATCGCGCGATTAGATCGATCGATCGGCTGAAACGGCGATCATTCGGCCATGGCTCTCATACTCGATTCGTCCGAAATAGCACGCGGAACTATCGCGAGACAGTTCGTCACCTTAGAAACTAATGCGATAAAACCCGGTTGGTCGAGCTTGTTTGGCTGGTTATATTCGTGTAACTTTCGCGGCATCAACAGCGCGCAATCGATGGCGCGTATAGTCGATTTGTACTTGCAATATGCTTACGTGAGCGTCCACTGTGCGTCTTAGCGTTTCTCCTCGGTATTAGTAGCGCTCGGAGGTACTAATTAATTCACGACTAATTGGCCGTCGCTTCACCCCGTTGTCTCTTCCCCGCGAGTTGAACGGCGTATTGTTGGTTATTGTTAGGTGAAGCTTCGTTTCTGAAATACGACGGCAGCGGAGCGACGGAAACGCGTGCTCCGAGGGAACGTCCGACAGCTATCGTCCGGTAACTTTCATACTCTCGAAATTTCTTCACCGAGAAAGAGAACGTCTCGAGCGGACGATGTGTCTGTAAGTGTATTTGTCGATATGACTATAAGTGCATGGTGCCTGTATGATAGTGACTAGTAAGATATTCGTGACTATATATAAATGCATACTGACGGATACGTATAGTCGAGAAGACCATTTTGTCGCAGTGAGCGCCGCAACAGCGAGTATTAATTCAATTTGAAATCGAAAAATCCAGCCCAATGTGCTCCGCCGTTTCACGCAAAAATTCATTCTTCGAATCACCGAAACGTGTCCACTCATATGAAGTCAGAGGCAACTTTACGCTCGAGTAAAACATTTCACTCTTGTAACTCCGGCTGTTCACCGCCTCGAGGAAATCTTCGCTCATTTTGAGCGAAATAGGAATGTTGGGCTCCACTCGGAGAAATGTTAAAAACAAATGATACAACATTCGAGGAATTCCATCGACGCTCGAGTCTGAAAGGAAACCGTAATGAAATATTTCGTCGTATTTCATTGTGAAAACTGTTATCGCATCAGAGTGGACAAGCCGAGGATGACGTATCCACGGAAGACGGTGATTTCCGTTTCAACGTTCACGGAAGAATACACACCTTTTTTATGTGATGCGCGTGAAATTCGCACGCCGCAGTGCTCCAGCGGAGTTAAGCAGCAGACGTCTATCGCCGGCGCGATAAATCATTCCGGATTATCACCGGCCGACGCGCAGTGGTTACACGTGCGCGGACAATTTTCTCGTATCACGGCGCGCATTACGTAAGGTATTCTCACGCAGCAGCAGCGAGTCCTAATCGCTGCATCATGAATCTACTCAGATACGAAGATTGGTAGGATTGATATCCGTTTGCAGGTAGCACGCGATGCTACGAAGTATCGCGTACCGTAATTAACGATGAGTCCGGCAACACATCGGCTCACACTCCGATCGCCCTGATTGTTATTCACGGCCGAAAGGGCTCTCGAGGGGTCTCGAGAGTCCCGTGTGGGACGTCGAGAACGTCGTCGAAAACGACGAATCAAAATTGAAAACCATGCGGGGTATCCTAAAAAGGGCGAGAAAAAGAAGGTTTCCTCGAAACTCGGTGAGCAAAGTTACGGAAATCGCAACGACTCGTTATTCCCTGAATAACCGGTAACCAATTTCCTTCTTTCGCAAAATGAGTAACGGCAACGGTGAACGTTTTTCCAACGGGTATACAAGCGAGTGTAACGGTAACGGGTTCTTTTCTCAAAAGTTACTTTCCCAACACCCGGGTGGGTAATACATCGAGTATTATAATTGCCGTTCGATCGAAGCCCATCGCGCACACGCCCACGGAGGATACGTCCGGATTCCCAGGCGCGTGCATCGCGTGATTTTCGAAAATTATCAGCGAGCCTCCGTGCGCGATTTTGAGCCGTGCCGTGTCGAGCCGCGGCGAGGGCAGATATAAACGCGCCACGCCGCGGCGCCATTTACGATCTTATCAGCCGGGCCAGGACTTTTGCCAATGCCCCGCGTCCTTGAAGACCGTTTTTCATCGTGTGTTACAGGTACGCTGCGTCCGCCGGGCCTGATCGGCGGCAGTAAGCCGAAGGTAGCGACACCGGCTGTCGTCGCCAAGATCGAGCAATATAAACGGGAGAACCCGACCATCTTCGCCTGGGAAATTCGGGAGAGGCTAATCTCCGAGGGTAAGACAACAACGTCGACGACGCGCGCGCTCTTTCATCCGAACGATCGATTCAGATTAAACGGAGAGCGGAGATTTACGAGGCTCGCCACGCTGAGAAGTTACTCGCGTTGAAAGCTGCAAACGAGCGATAAATTGATCGACGGAATTTTATTTCACGGTGAACGACGGGAGTGCGGTCGTACGTTGCCGCCGCCGGGCGCAACGAGATCGGCCGCCGCTCGAGTAACTCGACTCGAAAATTGACACCGACTGTGATCCTTCGCGGCACAGAACGCGCTTAGTCACAGACGTCGAGGGGTCTTCGTCAGCGCGATGCATAAAGTAGCGTGTTCCTTACTTAATTATGCTCATCCTCCGCAGGCCATGCGAGTGCAAACCGACCGTGATTACAGACGCACGTACCAGTAACGTGTAATTTAGCGAAAGAATTAAGAAACGCGTTCCTACGGCCTTACTTCTTGACACACATACCTGTTCTCGGGCCTTCGCGCAAGCGCGCTAACACGAATACCACAAAACAATTGTCCGCTCAATTTCAACATCGTATTCCCGCGTGTACGGCAAATCTCTGTTAACGCTCTTAACGGATTCTTTTCATGTAACAACAAACTACGTGAAATATTATAAATTTATGTAACAGAACGGTGGAAAGAGAAGCGATCGATTGTTAGTCCAAATTAATTTCAACCATAAAACAATTCACACGTCCAACTTCGAATTATGAATTTGATTATGAAGATATGTCGTATTAAAAGTTGACAGAAATCACGGAAATTTACCTGTGGGCTTTCAAACGACGACATATTACATACCAGTTTACACCGTCCGTATGCGTAGATAGTCACATATTACGCGTACGCTCGAAGATCTGAGATGACGCGCTTCCAGCTCTCGGTCGACCCGTGGTTGAAAGAGACGTTGCCCTCGGCCTGTTCCAGGAGTCTGCAGTAACGCGACAGCGCCGTCGGTCAGCAGCATCAATCGGATACTGCGGAACCGCGCGGCGGAGCGCGCGGCCGCCGAGTTCGCGCGCGCCGCCGGCTACGGGCTTTACGCGGCCGCCGGGCCGCACCCGTACTTCAACTCGCACCAGCACCCGACCACGAGCCACCATCTGCCGGCGGGCTGGCCGGGCGCCCCGGGCGCGGCCGGACACCCGTGGATGTTGCCGCCTTTAGCTACCGGTATCTCCGGCGCGTCCGCACTGCTGTTGCCGCCGTCGCTGAGCCCCGGCGCCGCGGCCGCCGCGGCTGCGGCCGCAGCGGCATCCGCGTCCGCCGCCGGCACCACCGAGCACGCCCTGCACGCCGCCGACGCGATCGCTCGTGGTTATTTGCAAGGTGACGACGACGACGGCGACGCGGACGTCCTCTCCCGTTCGAAACGGCCGACGAAGGTGTCGCTTCCCGGAGAAATTCCCTCGACGATGATGTCGTCGGGGTGACGAAACTAGGCGGGAGAGGACGTTTGATCTTCCCAATCACACACTTGTCATTCGCGCGACTCGAGAGCTGTTAAACGAACGAGGTGTTAGCCTCTCAGGATTTCGCGAGAGCTCGCTCGATTCTTATTCAGTTTCACTCGGCTGCGGGATTCTCCTTCCGTGCACCGTCGAAACCCGCGCGTACCTGCGTGGAAGTTTCTTATGATTTTACCAGATACAGCATAGCATTCCGATTAGAGTATCAAGACTTTTAACACGCCGTTTCCCGAGATTAATGCCCTATTTTTAGCTTCTGTTTGTCATTTTTTCTAAAGCATTTTTTATTTAGAATTTTAATGAGAAACTATTGCGATATTAAGGACCGATGTCGCGATATTATTCAAAAGTTTTCGAATTTTTAACCATTTTGTTTTGAAAATATAGCCATAGAAGTTCGCACGATTTATATATTAAACATTCTTTGAGGAACCTTTGGGAAATAAGATCTGTTTGTGTTTCCCCTTTAGACTTAGAATCGCATGTTTGAAACATGTTACACTTCTAACCAGAACCTGCGTAGATCTTCCTACTATCCGTCATTATTTAGGGAAATTGAGCTAGGGATCCGAATGAGATTTCCCGAGAAATTTTCTATGCAGGTACTTGCGCGTCGACGGCAACGTCCGATTATCGCGTTTCCTTCCTCATGTCGAAGACGATCGCGCATAGGATTTGTCGATACTCCGAAAAATAACGCTCTCTTGCTACGAGCTCGGATCGCGCACGGAATTAGACACACACAGCCCATAGGAAACGCGTTTCTCTTGCTGCGCAGACGGTGACGGGGACGACGGAAGCTTGGACGGCTCGGAGCAGCCCAAGTTCCGGCGCAATCGCACGACCTTCAGCCCGGAGCAGCTCGAGGAACTCGAGAAAGAGTTCGAGAGGTCGCACTACCCCTGCGTGTCGACGCGCGAGCGTCTCGCCTCGAAGACATCGCTCTCGGAAGCGCGCGTTCAGGTGAGGATCCAGGCCGCAGCTAACCGGCCGACGCTGACGTCTCCACGCAGGGTTTTCTCTCTTTCTCCTCCACGGTCGACGCGCGAGGAGGAAGCGTGCCCTGCGCGGAGACGAAGGCTCGCCGTCCGACTTCGCGTCCGGAAGACCCGACTTGTCCGACTTGATCACGAGCGTTCTAACGACCTAACTCGTGACTCTTAGGTTTGGTTTTCCAACAGACGGGCAAAGTGGCGTCGTCACCAGCGCATGAACCTCTTAAAGCGCTCGCCACCACCGCCACCACCGCCACCGCAGCCGCAGCCGCCGCCGCAGCACTCCGCTACGTCCGCTATGGAAATCGGCCAGCGTACGTCCAGCTGCTCCATTGCCGGCATGGGCGGCGAAAGTAGCGCGTTCCGCGCGGTCGTCGCCAACTCCGTCGCCGGCCACCTCAGGGACGCGGACAGACCCGAGAGAATCGAGCCGAAGCAGCCGGAGAGGAAGCCCAGCGCATTCCGGATGATCAGTCAGCTGGTGGGCGACGACTCCACCGGGCTGTCCTCCTCGCGACCTAGCAGTCCCGCGTACGAGCAGCGGCAGGGATCCGTGCTCGCGCGCGGACCGAGCCCCGGCTCGGCCCACAGGATACGCTTCGATCACGAGGACGAGGACGAGGAGATCGACGTCCAGGACTCCGATCAGGACGCGCCGTCGCCGCCGCCGCCGCCGCCGGTCGCTTGGAGGGACCATTGGACCGACCAACAGCCCTTGGAGCTGACCAAGCACGATCGTTGAGCGAGGCGCGTCGGTGTGTTTCGAGACTCGCTCGATCGAGCCGGTGAACCGACACGTCGACCTCGCTTATTTATTGCCGAATACTCTCGGTGGAGCCCCGCTCGAGTGACGTCGACCAGTGCAAAGGTGGAGGATCGAGTATATCTTTCGACGCTGCGAGTTTTTCGAGAAAGTAGCCGTCGGCGACGTCACGTCGCGTGTATCTAGTGTATTTTCTCTCTCTTCTCGCGTTCAGCCGTCCCGGGCTCCTCGGCTCCCGTCGTCGTCGCTTGACGGCAAACCCCGGATTCCGCGGAAGCGCCTCATTCCACGACTGACGGCGGCCGCAATTACGCGGGGAGTGTGTGAGTGTGTCGTCGCGGTGCTGTGTAATAATGTTGAAAGAAAAAAAAAAATAACGCAATGTCATCGATGTCGCTGTGTAATTGTTACCGCTGATTGCGTCGAGGTGATCGATACCGGTCGTCTCTCTCTCTCCGTTCGGTTTTTTGTCCCCTTCTTTCCAGCCGAGGAGCTGCTCGCGCGAGCACCGCCGACGAGGAAGGACGTGCCCGTGAGAGAGCGAAGAGCGAGCTCGTGACGAGAACTCGCTCGGAACTAGTCCTAGAAGAATCCTTTATGAGATAGAGGGCGGGGTGTAGAATGCGTTACCTAGATAACTGTGGCGGGAGTATGCGGATGGAAGAAGACCACGCGAACGATCCACTGTACGAAAACTCTCTGTTGAAATGACGTTTATTTAAGAAGAAATGAATCCGTTTGTAAATATTCCACCCACGGTGTCCACGATTCATTTTCTCTCTCTTCTTCGCAGACTCTTCCAAAATTCTCACCGAATTACCCTACGACGGACGTAACGACGATTCTCCGACGATTCTCATCGAAATATATTCCGCACAACGAAGATATGCTATATTGAAATAAATTTACACGAACATTCGACGGTCTCGCTGCTCTACCGCACTGATTCTCCCCAAATCTCCCACGTTTAATCAACGACGCGCGCGTCGTCGGGCGACGGAGAACGTTCGCTCAGTCTCGCGGCTTCGAAATCGCCCTCAAACGTTACATCTTTGTTGGTAAAAATTACCTCCGCTCTTAAAAATTCACCGTATCAAATATATATATATACGAAGGAAGAAGCGACCGAAGTATCGCCGTGTGCATCGATACGCGAAGGAACGGACGTCGACGGACGCTCTCCGCTTGTCTCCTGATTTATGCTCTCCGAGCAATTATCCTCGGTAGAATATACTTCCGTGTATCTATTAGCGCGCATATATGAGACACTCCCGCGACGAGATGTTCTATCTGATACTTCCGCACTTATCTCTCGTAGGACCGCTCGCGGATGCCGACAGCGCGCGGACATTCCCGACAATCGCGTCCGTATATCCATCCGAAGTGCCGTTTAGTCAAGAGGCCGAGAAGAGAAACGGAGCGAGCACAAGTACAAGAAAGGTAAAATCGTCGAGCGCTGTCTCTTGCGCTTAACGCTTCCATAGAACGAGATACAAGTTTACCGGTGATCGTTGGACGTTGGCTTCCCATAAAGTAGCTAAAAACCGAAAAGAACGACATCTTCTCCTCCCTCCCTTCCCCCTCTCTCTCTCTCTCTCTCTTTATCTGTGCTCTTAGCCCGCGAGCGCGTGAAGTCGCACTCGTCGTGAAAACATTGCTTACTTGCGTTATATTACCTTACTTCGAGATCCCAATTAGAAATCCGGCGTATCGACGCACACGATTACTTCCACGCCGCGCGAAATATGTCAATTCCGCCCGGCGACACGATCATCGCCGGAATGAATTCATTGCCCCGGCGAACGCCGGTGAATAAGTTGACGGCACACGTACCCCTAAAACCACTCGGAGGCGCGTACCCGAGGTGTCCCCGAGCGGCGGAGGGTACGGCGGGGACTCGGGAACAGAAAGAGGGAGGAAGAGAGAGAGCGAGAGAGAAAGGGTGACCAGGCGCGGGGCACGAGAGGGGAAAATGCGCGCAGAGCGAGGGAAGGCTCATCGACGATTAACTCGAATCTACGGTTTCGTCGGGCTCGCAAATAAGGAATCTGCGCGCGAAACTGGTTTCTCCGGGCGACACTCTCTTCTACCGGCACGGGTGGAATCGCTTGTCGCCGTTGAGAGCACGAAAACATCGGATCCGCCGACATTTCGGATATCGTGGCCCGCGTCAACGGACCGCGCGACCGCCGAATTTATGGCCACACTCGACTTCACGAGCCCGTGGATACTCGCGCGAGCGAGCGAGCGAGCACGGCAGGGCGAGAGGAAGGTGGCAGACACGCGGCGAGGACCCGGAGGGGCGAGAGTCGAGGTGAACGGGAGAGAGGAGAGCGAGATCGCGCCGGCGAGCACGTAATACGAGCGGACTCGTTAATGGCGTTAACACGACGAATCGACGCACCTTTTCACGCGCACGTCTCCGTTTTTTCGGGCCTGACCAGGTCCAGCCGGGACCCCACCAGGGAGAGAGGGGGGGGGGGGATTCTATTTGCGCGCGAATGAAACCACTCGGACAGTCTCGCCGGTGCGGGTATAAAAATGTAAAAAACGGACGCACCGCGGAGAAACCAGAGATTCGGGCTACCTCCACCGTGGTATATGGAGCTCGCGGATTTTTCGGGACGATCGTCACGCGCGTCCGTGTAATTCGAGCTGCCGTAGAGAAAGAGGGAGAGAAGCACCTCGCGATCGCTATCCTTTATACAGGATTTCTGGTTTCGTTATTGGCCATCCTCCACCTGTTCCGTCGTGTCCACCTTTCTTCCTCTCTTTCTCTTCCGTCGAGGGGAAGAAGGGTCCCCTTCGTTGGACTATCGGCCATGAGCGATGGTAACCGATTTACCTCCAAATAATCGGTACGACTCTTCAAGGGTGTACCCCGACAAGGCTCGATTGGGGTCAAGAATCCCGCTAACGAAAACGTGTCGAGGCCACGACAGCTTTTGAGTCACGATTAAGTTACACTACTGAGAGAGAACTCCCATTGAAAGTACAGTCATTCGTGGACTCGAATATATCTTCTTTTCGTTTTCATCCACAAAATAGCAGCAGCGACGTGCGTGTAAGATTGTTCCTCCTCGCTTCGCGCGATTATACTTGACGCGAGACGCTACCGTGTCTCTCGATCGCCAACACTATAGTAATGCTTGCTAGAAAAATGGTTCCCTCGATAATAATTCTTGATCACTTTGATTTTCAAATTAGCGCTACGCCCTTCATGGACTTGTATCGGACACTTCAGGTCATTTCCTCAAAGTGAGGGACGATCCGAAACCTGAAAACTAATCTGGATGTTTACCTAAACCGCGAAAGCCCAAAATATCAGATTATTAATTCTTTCTTAATTTATGCGAATATATTTACAAATATCAGAAAGATTTTTCTCAGTAGTGATTGAAGCTCGTCGATGACATCTCGCGGATCAATCTTCTCGCTAGTATCAATTGTCCTCTTATCGCCACTTTGTCTCTTCCGCCGATTTTTAGCTGCGGACCGTCCTCCGCGCGCGCGCGCGCGCGATTCCATTCACCTGCCGGCCGCTATGTACGAGCCAAAGCGCCAGACCCAACACAAACAGTCGGCAGGAGCATTGTAGTGCCAACGGAATCGCCAGAGGCATCGACACCGGGGCTGGTGGGTGAGGATCGGTCGGCGACTCCCGGCGCAAAGGCAAGAACCGAACGAACGAACGCGCGCGTGGAAGGACAGAGGTGGGAAATAGAACGCGCGGAGACGAACGCGCGAAAGAGGAACGGGTCGAGTCAGGTTGGCGGAGGAGGTGAAAGAGGAGGAGGTGGAGGATGGGAACAAGGAGGAGGAGGAGGTTAGTCGTCGGACACGCTCGAACGGTCGGCCACGGGAAAGCAGAACGTAACAATTACTATCCGAGCCCGATCGGTGCGCGGCAAGATTAACGATCTTACTCTCTCGGCGAGCACGTCTTCTCGGTTCGGCCGCGATTGCTCAGCGCGGGAGGAGCGCGAGGGGGCCGCCCGGCGTTAAAGTCACCTCCTCCTTTGCTCAATGAGATATTGCCTGCCGAGGTAGCGGAGCGTCTCGCGCGCGGTAAATCGCGCGCTCGCTCGCTCGCTCGCACCCGAGATCACCCCGTCTCGCTCCCCGTTACCACCCCACCGGCCGTGGTAGCCGCGTATATGCACGCAGACATGTACTGAAGCTGAGATTCGAGTGTTAGCGAGAATTAGGACGAGGGGATTATCAGCGACGGACGTGGCTCCGAGACACGGTCGTCGTCGCGTTCATCGTAAATTGCGTTAAGCCACTTCCGTCGCTCTCGTCCGTGAGAAAATATCAGTATGATTCGCGCATTCCGCTCGCGATCAGGACGGGATGGAGAGAGAGAGAGAGAATAAATAAAATGCAGACACAGCGTGCTCTTAATCGGCCAAATCACGCGATGACGTTTCTCCGAGGAGGCGCGATGTTTACGCGCGCGCTAACAGCCGTCGAGGCGATTTTTATTCAAGATCATCGTCGCACCGTCCTCCGTACGAGGGAATATAATTTGGCGCGTGGTTTTTCTCTTCTTTTTTTCTTCTTGTTCTTTTCCTTTTTCTTATTACACGACGAGATTGCGAAATAAGAAGCTACGTTAATAAGCGGATGGCTCGTGTGAATCGTACACACGGAGGAAACGATTCCGTTAGCGCAACTGAATTTTCTGTTGCTCGGGAACGAAAAGTCGATTGTAAGAACGGAAATACTTCTTCTAGGCTAGGTTTCTATCCAAGTTAATTGCTCCTAATCAAGTTTTTATACAGCTGAATGTTCACACCGATGTCCCCTGGCTGATGCAGTGTTCTTCGCGACGTGGAATTCGGAATTTAAAAATTGCAGTGTTAATTTATTCATTTGGGTAAAGTTATAAGGGGATTATAATATTACAAGTCTAGGATCAAAGATCGCTTAGCGTGGAAGATTAATTCACCACGTGCGTTTGGCCGGAGACTAAACCG